GCAATTGGCCCTCGGCAACTGTGCACAGATTAGCCCTCATGCAGTCTCACTTGGTCTGTTTCCATGTTTTTTATGTACTCCACTTCACTGGAAGGTGCAAAGAGATTAGCCAAGTAAGACTTCATCGAGTGGACAGCTGTAAAGTGCATTTGCAAAATACCACCACTTAAAAAAAAGATGACACATTTGTGCAATTGTCTGGGACTGAATTTTTTTTAAAGGTGGCAAACCAGTAACAGTTGCACCTTGTTCCAAAGTGCTGCTTGAACATCAGAGTGGGGCTGCTCTTAGTGGCTGCAAAGACAAAATCACAAAGAACAGCATGTGAGGTTGCAAAGCAACTCACTAGCAGATTCCTGCGACCTATGACAAAATGGTTTTCTTGGGTTCAAACAATATGACAACCCTGTAATGTGTCATTCAAAGCCTGGAAGAAGCCATGGGTTGAAAGGGTGGCTTGTTGCCCCCAAAGGAGCCACCCTATAGGAGCTGGTCTCAATTCTGGTGATGTAACAACCCACCCACAAAGATGGTTTTGACATATGAACCATTTAATTTGCTCTGCCTTCAGCTTAAGCTTGAGGGCTATAGAACAAAAGTCTGTATCATCTCCTCTATTTCTGTCCTGTTCTCTACTTGGTCCCCTAGCTCTGGATTCCCTCTTATGGTCCTGAACAGGTTGAAAGTTTCAAACTGTTAACTGGACAAACACTGGCATTTAAATTAGGCCAGTTATAACTTGGTGTAGTAGTATTTCTGCTGAGTATATTAGTGTGTGGTTGTCACCCTTTTTGACATTACTTCTGGTAATTATTTTTCCCTTGGCGTTAAATGGAAGTGTTCTGAAAGCTTACTGACTTGAAGGGGAAACCCAAACTTGTTTGTCTGCCCACATAGTCCTCTGAAACATGTCTGCATGTGCCTTTTCAAAATGGCTGCACATCATTTACAACTCTGCTCATGGCATAAGGTGTTGAGACTAGAATGCGTATTACATTATCACGTTACCTAATTGAACAGGGAAATTGCGCATTGATGGTACCTCAGGTATTCAGTGCTTCATTCTCTATCCTTGTCAAAAGTATCCTAAGACAACAGTCATACTTGCCATAGCAACACTGTACAACGGGTGCCTTAAAGCCCATGTAGTGTTTTTATTTGCTGTGTCTTTAATTCAAACACATCTGACAGGAGTTTTGTATTAATCAATAAACTTTTGAAAACAAGTACATTCCTTGCTCTGTCATCTTTGAGCTTCGTGTATTACCAAGAGAGGAATGAACACCTAGTTGAGGGGATTTTATTTATCACAATCTTGCTCCTCCAAGTAAGTAATGTTCTTTTGGGAAATCTTTAGCTGAACACCATTGCAATCAAACTAAACTTGGCTCAGTATCCTGGTTAAAATAGGATATCCTTATGCTGCACAAAAGTGCAGTCCAGCTTTTAACTTCTAGCTGCTGATGTAGAAAATGCCCAATACAGAGGAATAATGTACTCCGACAAAGGGACATCTTGGATAATGTTTGAGCAAAATGTACTACTTGCACTTGTTTGGATATTCCCTACTAATAATGAAAAGGACAGCAACTGCTATACAGAACAAAGAGAGCTTTGGCTGTTGAGTGGTATGGAAATTAATTAAAGATAAGGTAAGGCAGGACACTGCTACAACTTGAATATATAGTGGTGGGGGTTTTGATTTTAATTTTTTGAGGACAGGATCTTGATTTCATGTACTGTGCTAGTTAGACAAAAACTTGTAAGAGCTGCTATTTGATGAAACTAATGTGTTGGAATAATTAGGCCTTCTAACAGCTTTCTTTGTTCAAAGCTGAGCAGAAGAGCATGGCTAAATTACTCTTGCAGCCTGGGCACTAGTATAGATTAGACTGTCCATCCTTCAAAACTGCATAGCAGGGAAGGTAGGTAATCCCTCTGGATTATGTTTTCTCAAGCAAACACCGAGTTCATCTAAAGCACCCCTAGAAGGAGTATCCCTGCCTGTACGGCAACATTGGAATGATGATAATGGGACATGTTAGCGGATACAAATGTCCAGGGAGGCAGCTGTGCTTCCACTTTAGTGCCTGGTGAAGTGGGCTCCCGGGTGTGAACATTTTCTGTGATGGGGCTTAGACTCCATTTACACCTCAATACATACTAGTCTTTTAAGGTCCCTTCGGACATAGATGGAATTTTGTGCTTGTGGTTCCTCAGCCGCCTCATTGTAGTGTTAAAGTTTTGAAAAGCAAACCTGCATTAATCAACCTAGAAAGCTAGAGGGTGGAAACTGCCCCATCCACCACTATCAAGAAGAGGACAAAAAAGGCTGGCGCAACGGAAAGCAAGCTGCAAGGAGAAAAGGACAGCCAGCTTTAAGCTGATCCGTTGAGATCAGCAACGGATGCCCTTCTCCGGGAACCCTCTGTGAATGATATTAGGAGGGCGAGTACCCCGAGGAGGGCTTTCTCTGCGGTGGCGCCCCATCTATGGAAGGCGCTCCCCAGAGAGGTCCGCCTGGTGCCGTCATTTGTTTTTCAGCACCAGGCTAAGACCTTTTTATTTAAAACTTACTTTAATTGCTAAATTATTGTATTTATTAGGATTTTAAAATTAGCCAAGAATGCACCGGGGTTTTTTTTTAAAAAAAATCTTTTAAATTGTTCTATTGTTATTGTTTATGTTTTTTTGTATTTTTTGTGAGCCGCCCCGAGGTTTTGTTGCGATGGGGGCTGCATAGAAATGTTTTAAATAAGCAAGCAAGCAACCTTTCCCACGTCGTGTTAGACTACAACTCCCGTGATCCCTCTAGGCAGCACTAACATGATGGGAGTTGGAGTCCAACACATCTGCAGGACGCCAGCTTGGGGAAGGCTGCGCACTCGCACGCCCCAGGTCTTCCCTCAGGGCTCACCGACTCCGTGAAGCCTCAACACTGCCAGCTTCCAGTTAAACGTGCGGGGAGAGACCCACCACTCCATCTTAAGTTGGGGGAAGGCTGGAAATCCGCCCCGTCCTGCCCCGCATTCGGAGGCATTGAAACGAAACCGGAAATAAGGCGGACACGGTGTGGCCATAGACTTATAATCGGAGAGGCACGAGGCCTGTACTTTCAGCCGCAGTCACCTTGCACTGCTCCAAAGTCGCTTGTGCCGTAAAGCGCGACTTGCTTTACGGCTCCTGCTGCTGCGGAAACCGCCCCTTGGCTTTTTGCCGTGCTGCTGCTGTCGGCGCCGAGCAGGTAGCCGGGACGGGGAAGAGCCGCGGTGATAATGCTGGTGCGGGGAGCGGGTGCTTTCCCGGCACGGCAGCGGCTCTATAGAAATGTAATCCATAAACGTAGCGAGCCAGTTATCTGCTAAGAATGCAAAGGGCTGCCTGCCCCACGGATCTTACAGTCTACGTGATGAGAGAGGGAAGGGAGGAAATGGGGGCCAGCAAATGGCATTAGGGTGACTGCGTGCGAAAGAAAAGGTTGTGTGTAGACGGCCTTCCCTTGCTCGACGTCCTGAGGATATTCTGGACTACGATTTCCGTCATCCCTAGGCATTGCTGGGATGGTGGGAGCTGCAGCCCAGCGCATCTGTGGGGCGCCGGCTTGAAGAAATCCAGTGGGAAAAGAGTGGCACAGTGGCTAGCGTGTTGGACTGGGAATGTGCGAGATCCGAGTTCTGGGTGGCACTGGGCCCACTGGGGACTTTGGCCAGTCACTCACCTCAGCCTAACCCACCTCACATGGTTGTTTTGAGGATAAAATGGAGCTATGCAAGCTAGTTCGGGTTCCCTACAAGAGGAATATAAATGCAATGTAGCAACAACAGCAACAATAGTAGGATAATGTTGTCCCTTTTATAGTGCATGGCAGGCTTACATTCAAGTAGTATACCTGCTATTTGAGTATCAGCAGTAAAATCTATCCATGGTTCAAAACCCTGCATATCTGGCTGGGACTGACAGGGGCTGAGGGAGACTGAAACTCCTAGGTGTGTTGTGCTTCCACCTTGACAAGGATGGATGGAAGTCCCTTAATGTTTCTGCTTGTTAAAGGAAACAAAGGTGAATGGCTTCCAGTGGATTATGTCCCTGGTCTGTTAAACACTCAGACTATGTGCTAAAGCTGTGTGCTCCACTTCATTTCCTTCCAGCATTAGAAATAGGTTTTAGAAGTAAAACACCAAGAAATAAATTCCATTCAAATGTGCTGACCTATCCATTTTTTAAAAAAAACCTTGAACACTTGAACAAGCTTTATGCCATTTGCTGTACTCTTTACAAACTTTGGAAAGTATTGCTGGTGTTCATGCCAAAAGAAAGTGGGTAACCATTAGGAAGAGAACATCCCTGTTGTGGAAAGCTATTCCGGAGCAGCTTACTTGACACCATCTTTAAGGTCTTCACTGCACTTAGTGAAGATCTTGATGTGCACCAGATCTTTTAAATAATACATCCCTTATTTATAGCCTGGGCCTTTCACTTTAGAACATGTGTTTTCATTGGGGTTTAAATTGTTTTAGTTCATTGTTGTGAGGATAAAATATTAGCTTCCTTGGGTTTCTAACAAGAGGGAAAAGATGAGATATAGATGCAATGTACTAATAATAATCTACATTTTAATCATTTTATTGCTTCATGTTGCTTTTTAATGTTGCATTTATTCTGTGAACTGCCCAGAAAACTTCTGCTATTGGACAACCTTATAAATACATTAAAGAGTAAATAAATAGGTCTAGTTCATAAAATCATTGCAAGTGCTTCACTGAATTCAGTTCTTCAAAAATATTTCTCCAGTTTTGTTTTTCACAGCAGAAACACATAGGAATCCACAGGAAAACATGAGAAGGGCCAAACTCTTGCTTTCAAATGACAGTCAACAAAGTCTTGACAACTAATGCAGAGAATTAACAAGAACGTGGTTTTGGGCCTTCTTACTTTAACCAGCTCAGTCTTTCTCCTCTTCCAACTGTACTATTATAAGTATTACTTGTCTGCAAAGGTAAGCAGTGTTGCAGTTCACTACTTCAAGATTAACATGTGTTCAGCATAATTAAATGATAATAAGATTTGTGGAAACGTTTCAAATGAAAGATTTTCAGTTTTCATTTGAAAAGTTTCTGTTAGCCTAAAAAGTGTTTTTTTCAGCATAAAATCATAGAAGGGTCATCAAGTTCACCTCCCTGTTCAGTCCAGAAATCTAGTTCGAAGCATCCCTGCCAGACTGCTCTCCAGTCTCTCTTGAATACCTTCAGCACTGGAGAGCTCAACAACTTCCTGTGCAGTCGGTTCCGTTGTTTGATTACTCTGATCCTTTGGAAATCTGCTTCCTATAACATAAGTCTATGATTCTAGGCTGTGACCCTCTTCTGTGGACCAGTTTTCTACTTACTTGAAAAGCCAGTGTGGTGCAGTGGTTAAGAGCATGGGACTGGGACTCAAATGATCTGGGTTCTAGTCCCTGCTCAGCCATGGAGCCAACTGGGTGGCTTTGGGCCAGTCACAGACTCTCAGCCCAACCTACCTCACAGAGTTGTTGTTGTGGGGATAAGATGGAGGAGGAGAATGATGTAAACTGCCTTGAGCCCTTTGTAGGAAAAAGGCAGGATATAAATCGATAAATAAATAAATAACTAAATGTGATATCACATGCTCCTTCACTCTTCACAAGCCTGAGCATACCAAGCTCCTTCCGTCTTTCCTCATATTTTGTCCCAGTACATCAAAAGTACTTGATCTGAATTATTTGAGGAAAAATTAAAGCACGTTTAATATGATTTAAGGTGCAATTATGTGTGTATGAAGCAGAAAAAAGTCCTCTAAATCCTTCCATGTATCAGCCAGTGGAGAATTATGGAACATTTTTCTGTCTAAGCATGTATAGGATTACACCCTTAAATGTGATAACTAGAATGAAAAGTAAACACACTCTTGGAGATCTTAATATTGTAGATGTGTTCAAATATTTTTAAAACCCCACACTGCAGTGTTATTGGGAAATGTCATTGGCACACCATCCTACATGAGTGCATTTTGATGGCAGAGCTAGGATGCCGTTTGTAAAAGGTCTTCTCTCTTGTTTGTTTTTGTTAGAATGGAGCTGTTTTTCCAAAGGTTAAGGGGAGCAAAGCAGGGCAAGACACCAGCCAGTGGGTAAGTACTGCTGCTTTGCTTTTGGTTTATCTTAATTTGTTGTGGATTCTATAGCCCTCCAACAGAAATATATTGATGGTTTTGTTTATTCCAGCTAAAGGTATTGTAGTATTCCCTGGAAGCCAGTGTGAAGATTTTTGCTGTAAGCAAAAGAAGCCATTATTGTTTCATGACCTAGTTAGATGTAAACACTTTAGCACAGTGCAGGCTGCAGTTTTTGGAACACCCAGCCCCCACCAAAGGAAAAAACCCCAACCAAAAATGGTTACATTTAGCTGGTTTCCGTAGTGGCTTTTGAGCACCAAAAAAGTCAAATTTTGTTGGCAAACAGACTAAATTTACTGACTTGGGTGCTCTATGGCCACTTTGAATATCCTATAACAGAACAGCCTCAGCAATCTGTGTTTCTTTAAGCAGCACGTGATTAGGAAATTCCTTGGTTTGGTGTCCAGCCACAACATAGCTGTGCATCTGATTGATCCCTTTCTTCTGAGACTGATCGACAGAGACTTGGAACGGCTCAGGACCTCCTCTGATGGTAGCCACTCAGAATGCAAGTACTTCTGCACTCCACGGGACTATACCACATTTGCAATATTGGACAAAACCTGGAAACTTGAGGTGAGTGTCTCTCTCCCTGCTTTACCTGATCAGGCTAAGCTTTATGGCTGTTTGAGAGTGAGCCAGTGTTTTCCTGCTCTGCCACTCTCTCCTGATTTTTTGGACTACTGCACCCAGCATGCCTGACCACTGACCATGCTGGCTGGGGCATTCTGAGAGCTGGAGGTCTTTTTTACCATCTAAACCTGGCCGGGACTGTGCCCCTAGAAGCCAAGTGGAGATTTTCAAAGTTTAAGATCAGAATTGGCGGACTAGTTTTCCTCGCTGTGGCCAGCTTTTCCCAGAAATACCCTGGTACAAGGGATATCAGGCACCCTCCATCCATATACGGATACGGTGAGAACCTATGATTGTGGCCAGCTTGCATGGGGTCTGCATAGACAGCATGCCCGCCATTGATGGCCTAACAGCTGTGTGCACATTACTGCAAAAGTGATTCTCCGACTTGAACTATTTTGGGGTGGTTCAGTTTAAGCCAGTGATGGGCAGCTTTAGGCAGTCTGGGGCAATCTTGCAGAGGCAAAGAACCCACAACTAGATGCATGAAAACAAGAGCCCTTTAATACTTTCCCAGCGCCTGAATCGGCTGGCTGGTGAATGTTGGCAGCAAATTGCTGTTGTTTTACCTTGCTGCCCTGCTGAATTCCGCCAGTGTAAGGACAGTAGCAGCAGGATGTGCATGTTGATTGTGCCGTGTTAGGTGCGATTGTATTGCCCCATTAAGAATGGCTCATAACAAAATGGTGGAAATGCTGTAGGACAGCCTTCCCCAACCTGGTGGCCTTCAGAGGCATTTGGACCACAACTCCCAGGATTCCCCTCCAGCAGGGCCATTGATTGGGAATTCTGGCTGTTGCGGTCCAAATGTCTCTGGGAGGCACAAGGTTGACGAAGGCTGCTGCAGGAGGCCTTTTTCACCTGCAGCGAGCCACAGCAAGTGCACCATGAAGCAGAGCTGTGGTGTCAGGAGCTCATGCAAGGTGTTCATTTTAGGTGGGCTTGTGTCGAGCCGCTGAGAGGGTGGGATTCCAGTGCCTGAAGATTCAGAGCAAAGACCCACGTCTAGAAGGGATGGAGGACCTCTCTGGGACAGAGATCCCCCTGCACTACATCTTCAGGTCGGCAGCTCACGCCATCCATCTGGTAGTCTTCTATGAGAGGAGTGGCAACTACCTCTGGCACGGGCCTCTGCGACTGAAACAGCACATGGACCGGAAGTTTGTGCCTTTCCGGAAGCTCCAGTTTGGCCGCTATGCTGGGGCCTATGACAAGTAAGGAGCGGCAAGGCAGGGCTTTTAAGGATATTGGATGATGGAGACTTTCTAGCAAGGAGAGTCCACCAGCTGCATTTTGCATCAGGCTTCCCCCGCCTGGTACCCTCTGGATGTGTTGAACTACAGGGTCCATCATCCCTCAGTCAACCCTGCCAGCTAACGCATGCAGAGAGCACCAGGTTGAGGAATGTGCTATCATGTCATTGCTGCAATATAGATGTCATCAGATGCATTGCTTTACAAATTCCGTGGCAACCATATCAGTGCAGAAAATCTTTACGTCTCGCTAAGAGGGGTAATGAGACAGCAGGTCCTCCCTCTCCCCATGTTCCTGCCACATAACACTGAGAATTATTTGGATGTAGATGCAGGGCAGACAAAAGCAACACCTCTTTAAGAGACTTCCCTACTAACAGCTGTTGGCACCATTGCAACATGAAACACTCCTGTATGCAGGGGTCCTATGTCTCTTACGGGGCCATGCAGAAGAAATAACAAAGAAATAGATAGTTGGCTGCTGCTATATCCTTAAATGCAGCTAACTGAAGAAGGGACGGTCCTCTAATAGCAGGGACACTCAAATCTATTTCATCTTTCAGTGCAGCAAATCTGGTTTCTTGGCACATTCTCCCAGTATGATGGGACACTTGATCCTTCCAGTTAAGACAATTACATTGTTTAAGAGTGCAGCCCTGGCTTATGCTCTCATTGCTTCTTTTATTTCATTTTCTCCTCTCTCTATTTCTGCCTTTTATGCCACGGGAGGCATTCATGGGTGCACTCCACCAAAACAATAAAAGCAGCTTTAAGCAGTACGATGCATGTTGCATGCAAACGCCTGAAATTGCTGTTCAGCTGCATTGTGGTGGTGTCGGTGGACCAGGTGGTTTCAGAACCACTCGCAGGGGCTGGTGGAAACATGGAGCAGCTTTGAAGTGTCTGGAAGAAAGGGTGCAGCCTGCATTTGCTGTTTCTGTACTTTTGGTGACAAGTGCTGCTCCAGCACTTTTCCTCCTTTTTCATCATTTTGATGATAGGAATCAGACTGATGATTTGGAATTCGCAGCCTGCAATTGCTTTGTTAGGTTTTCTGGTCAGGCTAATGTCACTCTTTTTCCTCTCATAACAGGACAGAATTACTGAGTGTTTCTGTTGATGGGATAACAGTTCAGATTCCAAAAGAGCCATCCAAGTTCCTAGAGGAAAAGTCCCACTCAAGGTTTATTGAATGTAGGTACAGAGAGGCCCGATCTTTCTTCCAGGTTAGTGGTTATCAAATAGCATTAGTTCCAAAACCTGACCTATTTGGGGGATTGGTTGGTCCCTTTCCCCTCATCTCTACCATCCTCATGTTTAAATGGGAGTACTTATCAGGATTCACCCAGTTAAGCTATGGCTGAGACATGCCATCACCTACTTTGTTTACACAGGTTCTCGGGTTCACTTCCTGGCACTTCCAGGTACGGCTGGAAAAAAATCTGCTTGAGACCCTGAAAAGACACCACTGATTAGTTTCAGTCAGCAGTAAGGCAAACTCTGTAGAAGGCAGCCTCCAATGTTGCTAACACTTAGAAATTGATGTGCTAACATACTAGAAGTGCATGGGGAGAGTCTCTATTCCAGACTTCAGTAACATAGCAAAACACTAAATGCAGATTTGCACAACTGGTAACCCAATTGTGCAAACACTCAGTGGTCAAATGCTCAGTGCAGCCCCTCAGGAGCTGCAGGGTCTTGGTAACTGTCTTTACTCCCTGCCTCTAGCTACAAAAATCATGGGTATTTATACATTATTACATTTATATCCAAGCATTTTCTTTTCTAACCCAAGCAACAAATCCAAGGCAGGATACATGATCCTTCTCCACTTCTCACAACTATCCTGTGAGGTAGATTAGGCTGAAAGTGTGTGTTTGGCCCAAAGTTTGTTTCATGGCCTTGAACCCAAGTCTCCCAAGTCCCAGTCCAACACTCTAACCTTGTCATCAAGCAGTTGGTTGGCTCTTTGAGGTGCGATGGAACATAATTTGTCCTGATCAATGCATTTTGTCTTACTGATTTAGACTTTCTATATGTTTGCTACAGAGGCAAGCCACGAAGGCAAAACTGGTTTTTAGTCTCCTAAGTGGTTCTTATTTAAATATTAATCTACTTTGAATTTAAATCCTGCCAGCATTCAGATCACTTGTGATTTGACAGTTCAGTTAAAAGCAAATATATTATGTACTCCTTCAGGAATACTGTCCTTCATTTCTGAAGTGGTTTGCTACAGAGCATAGAGGTGACTGTTCTAGAGATACAAGCCAAAAGTTCTCCTGACTCTATGGAAATTCTTTCAGGGTGCTTTCAATCTTGGTCATCAAGATCTAATGGAAATGGCTTCAGACCTCTTAACCTGTTCCCCCCTTCCGGCCAGCCAGTAGCTTAACTGTAGAGACCAAACCCAGCCAGCCATAAAACCCTGATTACCTATCAGGAGTTGAAATGCTGGCTTGAACACTTGGTGGCGCCAAAGAATGAAAATGCAGAGTATAACAATAAAGGAGACATGTATGTAGGAAAGAGAGAAATGAGTGCTAGACTGATTGCATTATAAATGTTTCTTTCCAAGTTTTTGAATATCATTATCCTATATTACATTTCTATACCACCCATAGCCGAAGCTCTCTGGGTGGTTCACAACATTAAGTCACCCATCCACCCTGCTTAGCTTCCAAGATTAGGCAGGATCAGACACTTCAGGTTGTATGGAAGCTATCTCTTCAAGTTTATGGAAGATTGAGAAATGCTTCACAGCTGCTGTGAGAATCAACGGTGAGGGAGATGTGCTGTTTGTAAGCTGCATCCCACATTGTACTGTACCCCTTGATGGGGTTTGGACCAAAGATTGTAGACAGTGGTTAAGGGCTGAGATATTATTTGTCTCCCTTCTGAGCAACATTTGATACAATACTTTGCAGTATATCAGTAATGGCATAGAAATTGTTTAAGCTCTCAATAGTTTTTAGGCCAGTTTTTCTTCTGATGTTGTCTTTTTTTCCCCTTTTTATTTTTTTTTTACAGAAAAAAACATGAATATATCACAACAATAATAATATAACATAACAAAAACACGATAATAAAAAAATAAATAATAAAGTGCCCCCACCACCCCAGAGACCAATGCTACCACCATTTGCATACTATAACAATAATATATAATATACCTCAATTATTTCCATATCCCCTCCAGAAGTTCATATAATCTTGACTGGGTTTACAGCCTTTGCCTTCTATCAGTACTGCTTTTACAAAATCTTCCCAACTTTCATTATATTTATTTGCTTTCATTAACCCTCTTTTAATTTTTATTTCTGTTGTCAGTTTATCATTAATTACCATGTTTCATATTTCATTATACCATTCATGCCTTTGCAAAACCCAATATTTTTCCAATTGTTTCCAATATTTAACTATCACTAGCCTAACTGCCATTATAATACTTACAAGCAATTCTTTCTTAGCTTCATTTATATCTTGTTGTTCTATCAACAGTAATAACACCATTCTTGGTGACATTTCTAAGTCTATATCTAAAATTTCTCTAATTTCCTTAAATACCATAATCCAAATCTTTTGTATATTTTCACAATCTCACCACATATAAGTTCTGATCTCTTTACCACATCTCCAACATAGAATATTTGCCATCAATTTGATTTAACTAAACTGGTGTTAAATACCATCTCCCTGATGTTGTCTTTTGAACCAACAGCTTCAGTATCTATTTTCTTAGACCCAGTTTAAAGCAGCTCACATTTGGGAGGGAGGGAACCATTTTCATCAGAAAGACCTGCTCAGTCAGCTTCAGCTACCTTCTTGTTTTGTTCTTGGTCCTGTAGGGTTATTTATTTAGGTATTTAAAACCTTTATATCTTGTCCAATTCCCTGGGTTTCAGGACAGCCATACAATAAGCCGCACATATAGAATATAAATGTATGGTTGAGACCATATCATGTTGAAACACCTTCAAACTGCAGGGGGAGCCGGTGTGTATTTTAAGGATAGCGTAAATAGGGCTTGGACTGCGGAGGCGTGAGAAAGGACTGCACCATCCCCTGGTCGGTTCTTTCCCTTTTAGCCACTTGCTCTCCAAGTGTGGAACATTAGTTTCCATAGGCCAGATCCAGACTGCCTGGAGGTCAGCCCAGCCCAGCCCTCCTGGATGCCAGCCCCACTTCTTTCTCCCAGCTGATAGAGATTTGGTGCTTTCCCAACTTTTGTACAGTGTTTCCCCATGCCTAAAACAGCTTGAAATGCCCTCTCCAAGGCTTCATGCTGGCAATAAGAACTTTAAGCTGCAAACCATTGGAATTTTTGGTCTTACCCTTAAGCCACTGGCATGTAGCCCTTGCAAGCTTCTCCGTAAGTTGGCCCTTGGGCTGAGAGAAGTTTGGCACCACTGCCTTAAGCAATGAAGGACATCATTTCCCTTGACATGTCTCAGTGGTTGCTAATACCCCTTCAGTACAGGGCAAAAGGGGGACTTAAAAATGATAGGCATATTTGTGGAAAGCCAGGAGGTATATTTTAGAAATAGTTTAAAATTGTTTATAATGTACAAAGTCATCTCTCTTTCTCTCTCCTTTTTTTTTTTTTTTTGGTTTGGTTTAGCTGTACCCCGATGATTCGTCCCTTGAAGCAGTAGAATTCAGGAAAAAGGCCAAGGCAGTGCTCCATCTCGCTGCTTTGACTTTGAACAGTTTAGGAGTGAGATTCTGGCTGAGCAGTGGAACCTGCTTGGGTAAGGAGTTTGCAGTCCCATTTCAAACTGGAAACTTTCTCTTTGACTGCATTATTGATTGCTGAAGTTGGAACTGACCCTGTCAGATGAGGAAGTGAAGTCTCAGCAGGGGTGCACAGGTACATGTGTGCATGTGGGTATAGAAAGTGCAGCGTATATAAACAGAATGTGGATTTATGCCAGAGTATCCATAAGAATGCCAAGGAATGTCCAGCAAGCTTTTGACTTCTGTATTCTCAAGATCTTGAGACCCTCAAAGTGAATGAATGCAAAGGAGCTTTAGACTTGTGTTCTCAGACTGCTGCCTTCCCCACCCATCCTGCTAGGCTCTTGAACCAGCTTGCACAAATGGGGCGCCAGTTTTGCCCTGGGACCCACTGTGGGGGTGGGGGAAAGAGAGCAGAGACACTGGGGGAGCAACACGAATTGTGCACTCCACCCATCTGGGCACTGAGCAGCCTAAGAAGCAGCTGAGAGCAGGAGCGAGGCCCCCACTGTAGGCAGAGACATTCAGTGGATGGGGAGAGCTCCATGGCATGCCCCACCTCCTGAATTCTTGGCCCATCTCACCAAATTAACTTTCTTGTCATTGTCCCAGGGCAACATTGTTGCCTTCAAGTTATTGTGGTTATCCCAGATTTGGGAAGATGAGTGTCACGGGAGGTGGGGTGAAGACTGGACAAGTTATCAGAAACGGCTTTCTATACATCTTACCGAAGAACTTTTTGGAGCATGTGGAGTATATGAAGAAGATTTTGTTGGTAACATTTGTATTAATAATGAAACATTAAATAGGTATAAAAAGACTTAATGACTGACAGGATTGAAAGCAGAAATACACACATGAGGAAATCTGCCATTTGCTCCAGTTAAGAAACCTGTACAAGCCTTGTTTTTAAGCACTTGCAAAGAATTCCATATAGGCAAGCGGATGATGATGATGATCTTGTGTTTTTAGGTTGGTACAGACAGTGCAATATTATTCCTTACAGCAAAGATGTGGACTTGGGGATTTTCATTCAAGACTATAAGCCAGATATTATTCCAACATTTCAGAAGGCAGGACTGCCACTAAAGCACAAGTTTGGCAAGGTTGGTAGATGACACGCCTGACTGCTACCCGGCCTCTCTCCATAAGCCTCCTTTCATGGGGATTGTGATGGCAATCCGACAACAGGCATTTATGGGAAGTGTGCATCATACGGTGGGGCAGGGATGGCAAGAGGCGGATTTGCAGATGGTCTGGACTTGAACTCCCTGCATGGCCAATGGTCAGGAAGGCCGAGGGCTGACATTCAGCTGACGGCAAATAGATCAAGGGCCTTCTCAGTGGCTGCTCCCTGCCTTTGATACAGTCTCCCTACAGGTGCTCACCTGGCACTGTCTCTATTATTGTTTCGGGACCAGGCAAAAAGGTTCCTGTTTGATACTTTTTTAAATAATTGATCCTGCCCTCCCTTTCACTGCTTGCTTTGATGTTATTATTGTAAGGTTTTAAATTTTGCTTCTGAATTTTATTGTTTGTTTATTGTTATATGTTTTTATACTTTTTCCTGTAAGCCATATTGAGACCTTGGCAGTAGACAGCATATAAATGGAATTATAAATAAATAAATGCATGCATGAATGTTCGTGCCATCTGGAGATCTGCTTCCTTTCCTAGAGAACTTGGGATTGTGCATGGGGCTGAGACCAGCAAAGCTTCAGTCCAGTTTCTTCTTAGCCAGGAAACTTGCTGAGTGACTTTGGGGCAGTCACTTTCTCCTCAGAGGGTTGTTGTAAGGCTGAAACAAGGGGGAGCTAAAAAATATGTATGCCCTTCAAGATTCTTGGATAAAAGGCAGAATAAAAATATAATAAGCACTCCTCACATACTCTTGTTAAATCAGTAGAAGTCTTAGTATGACATTGCACTGCAGTTTGACAGAGATAGAACCCTGTGCACAGAGAAGCAGACTTTTTATTCTTATAATGGCTGGGGTTATTATGGCCAGGTTTGCCTGTTATTCCATTAGAATAACTAAATGCTTCCTGATTTCTTTTTCTTATACGCACACCATCTATATCATGCAATACAATAAAAACATGCAATTCAACTGCTCGCTTTTACTTTGGCACACAAGCAGCTGGAGGTTCGGAGCCTGATTGAGGTTGGGATCCTGCACTGGCTTCTTGCTCAAATTTGTCCGCTTCCCCCTAGCTGCTAGTACCACCCCCACCAAGGTGCTGCTTGTTTCTGTATTGAGGAGACCTGCTGTTTTCCGGGAGGAAAGTGGGATGCAAGGTCCTGTGTTGGATTTGGAGCACATTTCAACTGGGACCCAGCACTTCTGTACTTCAAAACAAAAGTGGCCACTTTTAAGCACACTTTAAAAAATCAAAAGGCATGTGTATAATGTAATGTGTCATTTGGCCCTGAAACCTGTGCAAAATATGTGGAACTGGCTCATACCTATTCACAGTGCTTGATGCTGCAGCCTCGCGAATACTCCTTCTCTCTTACCGTGTGTATCTTTTGATCTCCCTTACAGATAGAAGACAGTTTGGAGCTTTCCTTCCAAGGGGCAGGAGATGATGTGAAACTAGATATTTTTTTCTTCTATGAAGAGGAGGACCACATGTGGAATGGAGGAACTCAGGCCAAATCGGGCAAGAAATTCAAGTATGACTTGAATTTGGCATCTGCGGGGGAAGGACAAGCCTGATAAATTACAACATGCGAAACCCTTGCCAGAAAGTATAGCACAGACCTATTCTGAAGGCAGTGGAGAAATAATGGCCTGCCAGGCAACCAACAACTGCATCTTCTCCAAATGATTGATTGTCCAGCTCTGTTTCTGGAAATACTGGGTGGGATTCCTAAGGGACTCTTCAGGGGTTTCTCTTGAGAAGCTTGGTAGTGGTGGGACTGTTCCTGTGAAAGGGGAGGCGCACTTTACCTGTTCTCCTGTGCAATGTGTAGGTGCAGCAGATGGTTGGCCATTTTCAGGTCAGGGCCTCTGTCCAAGCAGGGCAACTGTGAGGCACAACAAGCCAGACCAGTGCCTTGCATGGACTGTGTGTGCTGTGGAACTCTTCCCTAGCATTCTGCTAGGGTACCTTGGCAGACATGTGCATGCACAGGTGCCCCTCAGCAGAAGAGTTGGTGTGAACAGGGTTTCCTGCAAGCAGAAGGAGTGGAATGTGCTACTCTAAATAAGGAATGTACCGCAGGAAGAAACAAAATCCCCAAAGGTTTGGTCCGTCCATCTGTCAATTAGTTGTCATGGATGCTGGCGCAACGGAAAGGCAGCTCAGAGGTGCTGCAAACTAGGGGCAAATCTAGTACTTTCAGGGCCCCGCTCAGCACATTTTCTTCCCTCTCACCCAATTCCATGCACAAGAGCTGCCCAGATTGGCTGTTGGATCTTATTTCAGCACCGGTGGCAGGACAGCCAATTCCATTACGCCTTGTGGGACAGCAGTGAGGCTTAGAGCACAGAACAGGTTGTGGACAATAATACCAATTGTGTTTTTGGAAGCCCTGCCCTGGATTTGAAATCTAATTTGCTAAAACAGAAGCTACATGGTCTTAAAACCAGTTTTAAATAGAAATTTCAAAGCGGGGGAGATGGGACTTAGCAGAGGGTCCTCCCTTCCTTTATTCATGCCAGAGCTTCCTGTTTTCATTGTCTTTCACCCCCTTTGTTTTTAATGCACAGTGACCTTGTTCACCATCCCCTGCTGCAGGGGAAGCTTTTATATTGTACTAGATGGTTTATTTCCTCCCTGGGAGGGGTGACAAACAGATCAGTCTTTTTTTTAGCAAAAAAAAAAGCAAGTTCTGTTAATGTAGTTTCTGGAACCATTATTTATTTACTGTGTTGTCCACTCACCAAAGTGCTTTGGGTGGTTTACAACATCACATAAAAATACAGTATAAAATATGTGCCACATTATACAAGCCTTGCTTTGTTTTAGTTATAAGTTGCAGCAGGGACATGCCCATTTCTGTACTGCAGAAGGTTTGGAACAGAACTTAGATCATTTTTCCAAGGAGCTCAGCATGACATACGTAAAGGTTAACCTATTTCATCCTCACAACAACCTGTGAGCTTAGTACAGTCTGTTGCTGACGGGGTCATAGTCCTCACCTAAGATGCCAAAAGTGCAGTGGTGACTAGTCAAGCTTTGCCACTGGAATCCACGTGACACGGAGTGCCTGTCACCTGCACCGTTGATGCGCTAGCCATGGGCCCTCCTGGACAGAGAACACATGGCATGGTTATTGTGTCATTAGATCCTATTAAACTGGTGCCATGCATTTCTATGTGGATCTGCCTTTTGGAGCCCTGTTAGGACTGGCAGGAACTGGTCCATAATATAGTCACCAGGCTACTAACTGGCACTCACCAAAGGGGGTGCACTGGCTGCTGGCCCTCATCTGAGCACAATTCCAGATGCCGCTGCTGATTTTGAGCGACTTTGGAGACTTTGCACCTGGGTGTGCAAAGGGCCTGCTCTCCCCAGCTGAAGCCCGCCTGACCGTTAAGATAACTGGACACCCTCCTCTGAGCCTCCCCATTTGTGTGTTCATTTGTTGCATTTATGACCTGCTTTTCCTCCAAGGAGTCCAAGGCAGCATTCAGAATCTTCTCCCTCTCCATTTTTCAGAAAAACCCTGTGATACAGGTTAAGCTGAGAGTCATTGACTGGCCCAACAAAACCAAGTAGGGGCTAGAATCCAGGACTCCTCAGGCTCCCCTACCCCTTACTGGCTCTCTTCTTGGTGGCACTTGCAGGCAAGGCCTTTTCGATTATGCTGCAGTGACCCAAGAGGTGGCGGTACGCCACTGCTTAGGAGGCTCAATACAGAGAATTTGCTGTATTTTCAGTGCCAGCTTAAGTCCTGGCATATCATCTGATCGGGTGATCTTACTAAAGTTTGTGAGTCTTCTGCTCTTCTGTAGTTGTAGTTTATATGAATTTTACTAGGTAGTGATTTTCCTTTCTAAATCATTGTGAAGCCCCCGAGAATTACTAAAATGATTATTAAATTACTTCACCCATCCAGGGAATCTTTCTGGCTAAAGGGGTGGGACAGAAATCTAAAAGTTGTAAGTAGCCTAAATAAATTAAGTGGAAAGAGGTAGAATCTGAACCTAGGTCTCAGTATAAGTCCAACCTGATAACCAAACACAATTGGCACTGTGTTTTTAAAAAGATGGAATTAAGCTTGTCCACATGTGCAAAAACGAAACTCCACAGGCATTATCCCTGGGTCAGTAACCTCGAGCTTGTACCGGCATTCTACTCATAGGAGAATCTCTGGGCCACATGTAACTTCTCTTTGGCAGAGTGGTTTAACTGTAGATAGTGGGCCATATTTTATTCCAAGTTTTATCACAGCATTAAAGCTTGCTTCTGTTTCTGGAAAATGTGTAGTTACTTGAGTGGTTAACAGCAAATTTAAACTCAGGTATTTACGCATAGATCACAGAATATGCCTTCCTGAAATCTTCTGAAATCTTTTTCCTTGCTTATTAACAGCAGCAAATGTTTCTAGTCCTGATTATGATGATGTTTGCAATGCTTGTTGAAATATTAACAGCCAGAAGAGTAGCCAGTTAAGATTTCCAGAGTTTTTGGGGGCCATTTCAGTGCCCTAAATAGTTTCTTGAATCTCCATCTGACCAGCAAAATCAGAAACATCATGCAAAATAATGTAGACTGGGGTTAGGCAACCTGGTACCCATGGGCACCAGTGTTCTCCAAGGCACCTTTCTTGGCAGCCACCCATGTGCTTTTTTCCACTTAAAAAAAAAAGTATAACAACAACAGATTTTCTAACCAGCAGTGGGGAGTCTGTGAAATAGAAGGTGGAAGCTGTGGTCCAAAGGATATGTTGAGAGTGTTGGAGCTCATTCCCCACTTCTGCATTGTACTGGCTTGTGGGCACATTTTCCAAGGCAGGCATTTCATGATACTGCCCAAGACAGTTTCTCAAATTGCCAAATATGTCCACAGGCCCCAAACATTTGCCTATCCATGATGTTGTGGAAAGTTGTTTTGTGAGTATAATGCGTGTCAGTTGCAGAATCCAGCCTTGCAAGTCGCAGAATCTGGTCTTCTGGACATAGGCTTCTTACCCTAAGTAGATCACTGTCTACATTGCAAGCTCTCTCCACAGCATTCTGAGAAGTTATACCACATTGCACTGATCACTAATTAACTTTACCTAAATTACGTTGACTCCTTCTGTTCTCCTTGTTATGCAGATACCTGTTTCCAAAATTCATGCTATGTTGGACTGAGTTTGTAGAACTCAAAGTACGTGTACCATGTGAAACCCTCCATTATATTGAAGCCAACTATGGGAAGGACTGGAGGACACCCGTGAAGGTGTGGGACTGGAAAAATTCACCACCCAATGTCCGACCCAATGGAATCTGGCCTATCAATGAATGGGAAGAAGTTATTCAACTCTACTGAGCTATCTGTAAGAGGCTGGAATTTGAATGTGTTTCCTGTCATTTGAATGCCTGGCCCAGAAGTCACTACCAATTGTCAGATTAGTCATCCCTTTAGAGATGGGTGACCCTATAAAGGATCAAATGACTCTTTGTACAACACACCAGAAAATTGGTGTTCTGCCTCAGGCACTTGTTTCTATAAATGAAGATGGAAGGATTTAAAATGAATTTTCAAGATGTAAAATAACCAACTTTGGATAGTTGTTAACAGAACTCCACTGTAAACTGTAGAAGAGTTGGCCAAAAACTGTTTCAAAAGTTGAAAGTGTGGCACTCTTTTGTGTTGCATCTCTCCAGATTTTGTATGCAATAGCCTTGGCTTCCAAATTCATATAACTTATTGCCAATCAGAAAGGGTTCTAATCACTGCCTGGGGGAAAGGATGCGCTGAGAATCTAAGAAGGGAATAAAATGTGGCCATTTTCACTCTGCTATATCATTTGTATAATACAATAACTAGGAGGCAATTTGTTCTGCTTTGGGCCGTGGCATTAACATTTATTTAAAATGTCTGTTTGACACACTTGCTATTATGAGCAGCTATTCAGGACATTTGAAATCGAGTGAAATGGATTACCTGTGAAGTGTTGGATGGAGCAAAGAGCTCAATCTGTGAAGGTGCTCTCAGTAGTATATTATTTATAGATGGTTAACTGTGGCCTAAAAGATACCTTTAATTTATTTGGGGCTATGTTGTACAAAGCACAATAGTGTAGTAGTTTCATTGTGGAGAGAATGGTTTCCGGTTAATTGAAACATTCTGATGTTTAGGTAGAGAAAAATGAATAATGAGAGAGATGAAGAGTAGGAGAACTAATGGCATGATACCCCACTCCAGCTAAAATAGAGTAGTTAAATTATCATAAAAGATTGTGTCTAACTTATGGGCAAGATTTTGTTATTAAAGTGAGTTGTGCTTAAGTCCCACTAAGATCAATGGGAAGTTAAGCATCAGCTGATGTTTCTGGATCAGTTCCAAGATTCTAATATATTTGTCGTATTTGTTACACAGAGACTTATTTTTAACTTACTGTTAAAATAATGAGGTTTGCAAAATGATTGGACATGCTCACTGATTTCTTCGTAATAAATGTCTGAAAACAAAATCAGTCTATTCTATCAAAAACATCAAGGTTAGTATATTTTATATACATGCATGTGTGAGTAAACTATGGGTTTCTTCTTTCTGTACCTCAAGAAACCTATAAAACAGCAAGACAGCTGCAGCACAAGCATGGGATCCAAGGGCCATGCTCAGAAGATCAGAATCTTAGCTTAATAAGGCTGGATATTCATGAGTTTCAGGCCTCCACACTCTGTGCTATATGATAAGCACTTCAAACTACCCTAGCTAATCCAAATGCACAGGGTTTTTTTCCTTTCCCAGATGTATTTGTAAATATGTTTTCAAGAAATTATTGGTATCTGACTCTCGAGTCAGCCGCCCTGGGGTACATCGATGCTTCAGAAGAGGAATAAGTCACCTGAAAGATCACAGATTTCTCTAGCCTGTACTGAGAAGCAGCACATATCTCGTTGGTAGTTGTGAAATGGATGACCTCTACATATCCAAGCGCTGGTGCTTGGAGTTCTTGCTATATGGCATAGCTTCTTTTCAGTCATTAGTAAAATGGAAGGTGCTCTCAGTGCTAGTGAGGAGCATTTAAACTCTCAGGATTTCTTTTGCAACATCTACTGCTGTGTTTGTGTGTGTGCATTCTAAAAAAGAGGGAAATGCCAAATGCTGCTTTTGGGACTGATCTGTAGGGGCCTAAGTCCACCCAAACATGCAGTTGCCCGGCGACAGGATGCACCAAATTGTGATGTCCATCATCAGCATCCTTCTTCATTGCTTACAAAGCTCATAAACGCTTTGGAAATGTTGTACAGATGTTGAAAGAGAAGATACTCTCTGTCCACAGGCTTACAATAAAAAAGGAAGGGAAGGGAAGGGAAGGGAAGGGGAAAGCAAGTACTACAAAAAGAGCTGCTTGTCTGGCCACAGAATGGGATTGGATTGTTTCTGACTGGGCTTCTTCCTGGAAGAGAAGGCAAAACAATCTTCCGCAGCTGCTCATTCTTTGGCTAATGGATGGGGCTAGGAAGGGCTCTTCCTCACTGTGACTTCCTTCCCGGAAGGCAGGGGTTGCAGCCTCTCTGTGGCCATTTATGGACCACCACCGCAGGGTTCCTGTGCATCAAACAGCAGCATGGCTCATATATGCTTAAGGATTGCATGTGCTTATCTCTGCTGTGGAAAGCTTCACCCATGGAGCACCAACATTTTGAAGAGCTTTTGAAAGTCGTGTAAGGAAAAGGTCAGCATCTCTAATCACCTTTTTCTTTATAGGTTTGTTTTTTCTGCCAGTGCAATGGAAGAAGCAGCACCTATGAAAAATCTACCTATTTTGCCATAAAGGAAAGTGATTTATACATAGGATGAGATCTCGTGAAACAAAAGAAGACCCTTTCCTTACATGGGGTTTTTGCTTCTTGGGTAGTGTGGGAGACAAGAAAGGAAAAGCAGTGGCTTCCCATGCTGGCTCTTGCTGCGGAGTAGCAACAATTGTGATTGCTGAAGATTGCTACTGGCTGCCACATTTGTGCATTTCGGCCCCCAGGAATACACTACTCATGAAACCACATTCCTCAAGGGAGAGACAGGAATGCTAGGTCATTATTGATGGTCAGCATCTGTCCATCTTGCCCCTTATTTTCTGCTCCAGCCTTCCCAATCTGGTGTCCTTCAGGTGTTTTGGACTATAATGTCCATCACCCTTGACCAAGCTGGTTGTAGTTCATGAGGATGGAGACCCAAAACATCTGGTCTAATCTAGCAGCAGCTTTCTGGGCTCTCCATGAGGGTTTTCATAGCACCTGCTACTTGATCCTTCTAAGAGGAGCTGCCAGGAGTTGAACCTGGAGCCTCCTGCAGGCTAGACTTGCCACCTGACACTGAGGCCTCTTCCACTACTGCCCCTTCTTTGCCACCAGCTGCAACTCAGCCTGTTACTGTAGTTCCACAAAATGCTTAATACCGCACAGTATTCCCCAGTGAAATCCCACAATGAAATAGTGCACCAGCTATTGTATTCCCCAAGCCAAAAAGACAACAAGTTTGCCACTGTCTGTTGTTTGTTCCCTAGCACATGGCATAAAAAAGAAATGATACCATTGAGAAAATCAAGAAAAGGAATGCATTCTGTTGAGAAAGAGTAGGGAAGGGGCTACATTGCAGGGCATTATGGCAGAAGTGCGAGCCAATGGTCACAGTTAAAAAATCTTTCCAATCAGATATTTAGGAAAAGCAAAGAGAAGCAGAGTAGGCTGATCCCTCTCCAAAACAGCTGATCTACAGCCTTCTAACCCTTTTCAGAGGCTTACATGGATGCAAGAGGGTTATGGCGGCAATGCAATGAGGAATATGCAGAGCAAGTAAGGCTCTACCGCCAGCATTGTGAATTGCTCCTTGGGGCTGGTGAGTTTATAACTCATTGCAACTCCATGTATGAAAGGATGTTTCAACAATTACATTGGACCCAAGTCAGAAAAATTACCATAAATGAGATGAAAAGAAAATACTGGATTGCAATGTTTTGGCAACAGTACTGGGTTCTTGAGGATAGTTGACTGAGCAAACAATGTCAGCGTTAAAGAAAACAGCAAGTGAGAAAGTACCTCAGATCCAGGTGGTTTGGCAGGTAAGAGCTCTTCTGTTGCTCCAGACCTGCATTTGGGAGAAACTGACAAAGGCAGGGGACTAAAGAACAATCTGTGCATAATTTTGAATATGATTCATTTCATTGTTCTGAGCATTTAATGGATGATAGCAGTGCAGAACAAATAGAGGAATCATATGCCCTGGCCTCATTATGCAGTAATGTTTTCATAAGTAGAAAACTTGGCAATTTAGTGCTTCTGTTTGATAGCCGGAGAGTCTTTTTTATTTTGAATTTCAAAATGATGAGCCTGCTGGCTGCAGACAAGGAAGAAGAGGTGTTGGGAAAATTTGGGTAAATCCTGTCTGAAAAGCATGACTTTAGCGTGTGCTTTTGAATTGTAGGATCAAATCCTGTCTTCCTTCTCAAAAACCAAACTGTCACTGTTTAAAATGGCATTCCCCGCTCCTTTCTCTCACCTTTAGCTGTAAGCTACAGTAGACAGGCCATTTAGTCCAAATATACATTGTAAATAGTCATTGTTGGAATTCAGTTTACAATAATCTTTTGATAGCCCAGAGGGCTTCATGTGCCCTGATCATGCAGAATGTTTAGAGTTGAGATAAGGGTCTGAGCTTATCATGAATAATTTCTAGTAGCTTGAATTTGCATGTCTGAGCAGACCTGGAGATGGGTTCAAGTTACTCAACTAAAGTGTCAATACAGGCAATTAGAAATATTTTAATCTCATTGTTACAGTGTGATTGACTGACATTTCTTTATCTGTTCTGTATATGATGACCTCAGAATCTTATTGTAATCTCTGCATTCTGTCATCAATTGCCCTGTACCTGTGTACCTATAAATGCCCTGTAATGGTATTGAAGCTTTGCAGTGAGTTTATCTCTGCTAGCCCGGTAATGCATTATCGTGAGTCAACCGCGGGAACCTGGGATAGGCAATAAAGACACGGAGGTTCATAACGATTGATCTTACCTACGACCCCGAGTTTTATTGCCTCTTCTCAAACTGAGATTCCGGGATTCTGACAGAGGTTATACAAGAAAAACACAGTGCCTGACAACAGTTAAAATTTAAAAAGCGTTTGTTTCTCAGCCACTGACAGTCCGTCCAGTGAGCCGCTTGTGCACTTTGAAGGGACTGTTGGTGGCTGTCAAAACAGGATGGCAAAAGCTGGTCATGACGCTGGCTTTCCCAGTTTCTCAATGTGACAAGCTATAATGAGCCAAAAGGGGCTTGCAATCATGTCAGGGAAGGGGATCAAGGTGGTCCTGCCACATGTTTTCTTGGGGTACTGAGAGGGGAAAAACCAGAGGGGCTAAACAACCCACAGTGAGCGCAACTGTGAAAACGTCATGGCATATTGTGGCATGTTGACCTATTGTGGCTTATTGCCAGGATAGATTATCATGATATGTATATTTGTCTGGAGAGATAGCAAATTTTTACTTTAAATATTCCACTCCTTAAACACCTTTTAAAGTGTATTTCAGTAGGAAGGTATGGAAATCAGAAATGTGCAGAAAATTGCACCATGCTCTACCTGTCTGAAAGCTGTTACACTGAGGCTTACTTCTGTGTAGACATGCATAAGATTGAGGTGAATTGCTGAGACTCAGATTTCTCTCTATCTGGTCTCCATCCTACCCCCTGGGACTGAAAAACTTGTGAACTCCTGATCTGAATCTTTGCTTGTTATGAGGTGTATCAAAAACCATAAAACAAAAATGCTCCTCAATTTGCTGGGTTTTAAAATCATTCAATCTTGATTATAGCTAAGAGTGGATACCCCCCCCATAAAAATGCCCCCCCACAATGATGTTTTAAATGGCATACCTAATAAGGCCCCATCCCTGCTGAATTCTTCCCACTCTTCAGCTTGCTTCAAAAATAAATAGCCCCTTTCCTCCTAAATTAGCTAATTAATTCTGCATTTGGCCTTTCAGACAGTGTGGAAAGGCAGGGCTCTTAAGTGCTGCTATAGTGCCATCGAATCGCTCTTTGACTTTTTGTCGCCTCTCAACTTCAGCTGACATTATACCCCACTTAACGCTGTGCTCTCCATCAGCAGCCTCGGCTCTGTTTCTGCAGCAGCAGCTTCAGGATGAAAAGGCCCCATGTTTACATTTTAGACTCCTATAATCGGCCTAGGTTGTCCACTTTGTCATCTTTCGGTAATGACGCTCCCCAGCTGCCTGGCAGGGGGAGTTCTGCGCAAACACTGGGGAGACACTTTAATAGGTACTGCTGAAGTCAAAAGCCCAGCTGAGCATTGGCCGGGCTGAAATTTGGCTCCATCACTGATCAGTCATATTGTGCCAGGTCTTTTCATTTCAGCTTCTGCTCACAAATCTTATTTTCCATAGGGACCTGGGACTGCAGCATCAAGGTGGAGATTTAACATTTTAGTATTCAGCCTTGTTAGT